TAGCACTTGTTCTTTGATTTGCTGAACGGTGCACTCATGATTTCTTGTTCAGCTACTCTTCTTCGCTCAGACTCTGCCAGTGTTCCTGTAAGTTTAGCTATTTGATCTAACATAACAAATATCGGAACACCGTCGAGTGACTCGACTCGAAGTAACGAACCAATACCTTCTAAGCCTAACTAAAGTCGTCGTAGGTCATTCCAAAGCCTCGACCATAGACTCTACCCTTGTGTACTCCCAACCACTTTTTCTGTCCAAATTTGAGTTGACAATTCAGACGTCATTTGGACCGAACTATCTAGACTCTCATTCATGTACTGATAATACTCTCCCTCCACATTAAAAATAAATATTAGCATCAATATATATATATATATATATATATATATATATATATATATATTCGTATTCACTTTTCATATTAAATAATGTTCGTTCGGCCCTTTCCTCCACCCACACATCCGGATCCGACTCATTTTCTTTCTTCTTCACATTAGTCCTCTTGAAAACCTATGATACAAGGGGAGTGTGCCCCAATTGTTTTTCACATAAATAGAATAAAATACTGATGATAATAGTCAACTAATTTATTTAATCAACTTTTTATTTATTTAAAAGTTTGAATTAGAACTTATCAGCTCTTGTAATCATTCCAAAGCTCTTTTCACCCCCGGTGTTCAACGAGCCACCCTAATACTGCGTCTAGCCTTTTTAACTTTTTCAGACATTGCCTTGAATTTATCTGTGTTCCAATACTGGTGTAATTCATCAAAAATATTAGGTAACATCCAAGACCGACATTGATCAACATCTCGGACTTTCATTAGCCAACTAGACAGTCTCATGGATGCCCTCCTCTCAAATGTGGTTGTAATGACCATATTGTACCTCAGTTTCCGAGTACACATAGTTTGAAAAAAATGAATAGCGTTAGATGATAAAAAAGTAAAGTATACTAAAATTATTAAACTTAACTAAAAAAATATATAATTAAACATATATATACCTTAAATTCATTAAACATCGTCTGACGTACACTGTTTGGGATCTCACTCTAGGAGTGATAAGCTTGTGTAAAAGAACTTCTAACACACTCTTTTAAAGTTTGGGTAGCCAGAGGCGTATCTAGAGGGGGTTTTTGTGTGTTCACGTGAACCCATGCTCCCCTCTTTAGATTATATATATATATATATATAGTAGTGTTATATTTTTTTTTAAAAATACTTAAATATAGATTTGTGAACCCACATTCAAAGTATCATATACAAATATGACGATGAGTGGGTGCACCTCTCTAAGTGATGATAGAAATTTAAATCTTTTATATATATATATATATATATATATATATATATATATATATATAATATATATATAATGTTTTTCTTAGTAAAACCTCTCCAAGTGGTTATCAGTAATACTTTTGACGTTTCAACAATTTTTTCTTTTATTTTTTTTACTTTAATCTTTCAAAGTTCAAGAGTGTTACATTGAAAATTCCTAAAATAATTATATAAAATTAAATCAAATTTGTATATTAAAATTTAAAACTAGTAATATTATGTATTTTGGACCTATAATTTTAAAAAATTAATGGTTCATATTAAGAACCTAAAGGCCAAACCGCTCAAATTCATAATTTAGATGTATCTTTTCGTAATAGTGCACCCATCCTTATGAAATCTTGAATACGCCAGCATCCTTTGCAGGATTCCACCTACACAACACATAATAAACATGTCCCATAACTATGTTCCTCCATAGGTTGTCTTAGATAAACATAAGCTAGTGACCTAAAAATAGAAAATTTAAGTATTGAAATCAATGTGAATATCTAACTTCTCGAAAAAAGGCCTAACCCTTAATTTTCATAATAAGCTTTAACAAATTTGAGGTACAAACTTTAAAGGCTTAAGTCATCAACGGCCCCTTAAAGTTGTCCGCATAATTCACTTAGACACCTTAACTAGAACTTGTACCTATTGAACACCTCTACTAATTCGGATTTAAACCTTTTGAACACTTTTTTGACAATCAGCTAAAAGTATGAAATGTGTATAATACACTCACGATGTCATGGAAAATTGACAAATCAATGACGTAAATGTGGCATTTTGACGAAAAATAAAAAGAAAAAATAAAAAATTGAAGTGGCCATCCACCCAGCTACAAATCAAGCAACTTGTTACAATGTCCAATGATGCATTGAGAAATTTGGTTGTTGAAAGAGCTTCCGCTCTTTAATCATTGAAGGGTTTTTTAATGCACAAATGGGTTTCTATGAAATAAATGTTGTTAAGGGGCCTCCTGAGATGATTTTTACACTTAGAATAGATAAAGGAAATGATTAATTTTTCAGAAAATTCCACATGCTTAAGATCACAAGTGATGTGTTGTTCAAGATATGGTTTCCATATGCGTTACATTTATTTCTTAGATTTCTAGTCTTTTCATAACCTGAACTTACATTACATTGTTGTGATTAGGTTCCATTCCACTCTATGTTTCATTTAATTGCTTGGCTATGATTCTCTTTGTTTCCCAATTTGTATATTTAATTTTTCTCTTATTGAATCTAGCCCTTGTTTATGTCCGTGCAAGATTTATCAGAATTTTGGAGGAAAATTTTAGTGAAAAGGGAAAACCAGGGAAAGTGGATTATTTATCTTCACGGACTGGATAAAAGGATCAGGCCTACCTTTATCATAGCAGATAAGATTTTGATGCTTTGAAATGTGGATGGAAACAAGTTACTGCAATTTATGTCATTAATGGTGGAGATGATTATCTTTAACATCTTGTAGATCAACGAAAATATCTTTTGATAAGTCTTACTGTTTCCGGATGTTTTGATGATCTCCTCACAAATGCAGGAACCCGGTCCTCTGTAGAGTTTGCTCGTCTAGGTCTGTGTGCTATACAACTGGGAAGCTGTCGCGTCAGAAGTTGGTGAGGTCGCCAGTGTACCACACCAATCAGAATGGACAAGGTTTTTTTGTCCAACAGTCAGTAACTCTTTATGGTTGATATAGTCAACATGACAAACAACAAATCACTCATTTCATTCAAAAAGAGAATATTCAAGCTTCAACAAAACAACAAGGGACCTCATAAACTGACGTATTGCTTCCTAAACCAGCTGTTTTTTTGATTGCTTGTATTTATGCTTATATTGTAGGATTCGTTTCACTTGTGTTAGAAATGTTTCAAACCTTGGGTGAATTACTGTAGGAGCTTAGTTGAGAGAAACTTTGTATCTTACATTAAAAATCTATATTAATCAGGTGGGTTAGTATAGTGGGCAATGCAGGCATTGATTTAGCTCATTGAGTGATAGTGTATTACTCAGAATAGAGATTAGGAGGTTAATCTCGTGTGTGTTGTAAACTGTATTTTACAGTTGCTTGAGAAAATTAGTAAAAACAGTTTGAAAATCTCGGAGACAGGTAGTGATTTTACTCCCTTGAGAAAGGAGGTTTCCACGTAAAGTTGTGTGTGTTATCTTTACTTTCTACATTTACTTCAGTTTATCTTAATTGTGCTAAGGACCTGGTCCTATTGTAGTTAGTGAACGCATACATTCCAACAAGTGGTATCAGAGCTTGGCTTTCTATTTGGGTAACACCAGGAAAAGAAAAGATTCTGAAGGAATGACTGCTCCACCTAGCCTAAAAGAAGGTCAGTCCACCACTAGACCACCTCGCTTTAACGGACAATTTTATAGAAGGTGGAAGACGCGTATGCATGACTACATCAATGTTGAAGACACTGAGCTATGGGATGTTATTCTTGACGGACCTTACATTCCTACCAAAGATGTAGTAGATGGAAAACTTACCAAGGTGATTCCCAAAACCAGAAGGAAGTACAATAAAGCTGACAGGAAAAAGATAGAAAAGAACTATAGAGCAAAAAAGTTGCTAGTGTGCGGGATTCGTCTAGATGAGTACAACAAAAGCTCTACGTGCGAGACAACTAAAGAAATATGGGATTGTCTCAAAACAGCTCATGAAGGAACGACACAAGTGAAGGAGTCTAAGGTACATATGCTAACGACTCAATATGAGAACTTCTTCACAAAGGAAGGCGAAACCATCCACGAGATGAATACAAGATTCACTTTCATAACCAACGAACTAAGTTGTCTTGGTGAGCCCATTCACCCAAGCAAATAAGTTTGAAAGATTCTCAGGGTGCTTCCCAAGTCATTAGAGAGTAAAGTGAATGGTATCACTGAAGCAAGAGACCTAAAGACACTCACCATGGATGATTTGATCAGAAACCTTCAAACCTACGAGCTGAACATGCAATAGGGGTCAAACGTGAAGGAAGGAAAGAAGGAGAAATCAATGGCCTTAAAAATTTCTCTGAATGATGTGTCAGAAGATGAGGATGAGATGGCCTATCTCACTAAGAGGTTTAAGAAGATAATAAAAAAACATTGAGGGTTCCAAAAGAAAGGATCTACCAGCAGAGCAACAAATGCAAATGATCTTTGCCACAGATATGAGAATCTTGAATATTTCATTAGGGACTATCTAATTCAGAAGCAGGAAGCTCAGGACTTCAAACCTCGCGGAAGGGACCAGGTCCCAGATCATGCCAGAAGAAAGGTGCACGCCTATCTAGTAGTGAAGAAAGCCTTTGCAGTATGAGAAATAGATCCAGTGAATCAGAGGAAGAAGAGGACAGTCATGAAGATGTCTCGATGATGGCCGTCAAAGATGATGAAACTGTGTTCAATTCCATTATCTCACTTATGGAAAAATCGGACGATGAAGAGAACTAGGATGAGGTAACCCTTTTTTATCTCAAAAGTGATATAGATACTTTATCCATTAAAAGGCTAAGAAAACTTGCTGCAGTTTTAATTGACTCAGTAGATGAACTAACCACTGAGAATACGATGATAAGTGAAAAACTGAGTATGTGTGAGGATGAAAATGCAGCCCTTAACTCTCAAATGTCTGAAATGAGTGTTAGGCTAAGTATTATAGAAAATGAGAACACGCTGCCCAACGAGGACCTCTGAGGGTAGGACACGGAAACTCAATAGCTTTGAGGTTAAATTAGAAGAAAAGTTAAAGGCATCGGAATTTAAATTAGTGGTTTCTCTTGAAAAGAATTCTCAACTAATGAAGGACCTTAGCAAGATCAAAGAAGAGCTGAATCATTCCCTGAAATGGACTGATTCATCTAAGATCCTTTCGAACTTAGCCAATCAAAAGCTTAACAACAAAAAGGGATTAGGTTTTAGGCAGATAGAACCTTCCTACAATCCTCACAGCAAATATGTCTCTGTTTATGACATTCTTTTGTGTACCCATTGTGGAAGAAATGGCCATCTGAAAGAAAAATCTGAGTCTCTAAAGAGAGTAAAAGAAAGGCAAGATAATTTTCTCGTGATAAGAAAAAGATATGTAGAAAAGAAAAAGGTACCTAGTCCCAAATACCATTTTAGTAAGAACACTTTGCCTCCGTGGACATGAAGATTTCTCATTAAACCTTTTGACAGTTTTGGGAACTCCATCTCAAGTGGGTTCCTAAGTCTAATAAGTTATTCTTGTGCAGAAGAGAGAAAACAATCAGTGTTGGTACATGGACAGTGGATGCTCAAGGCACATGACTGGAGACACTCAAAACTTCCTCTTTTTGGAAGCACACCAGGGCGGAGGTGTGTCGTTTGGTGAAGGAAAAAAGGGTTTCATTCTCGTAATTGACAAAATAGGAAGATCAACAGAACATTTCATAGACAATGTTCATTATGTGAATGGTTTGAAATACAATTTGTTAAGTGTATCTCAAATCTGTGATAAGGGAAATGAAGTTAAATTCTTATTTGACAGGTGCCTGGTTATCAACTGTGTTACTCACAAAGTTGTCATGTCTGCCAAAAGAGTAAAAAATATGTATGTTGCAGATATTGACTCAATAGAAGGTTATAGTCTCACGTGTCTAAGTGCTCAGACTGACAATGCAAATCTATGGCATAGATAATTGGGATATGTGAGCGCTTCATTGCTAAACAAGCTTGTTACGAGGGACCTGGTTCATGGACTGCCAAGGCTGAAGTTTTCTAACAACAAAGTCTGTGAGGCCTCCGTAAAAGGGAAACAAACGAGATCATCTTTCAAACCCAAGAAAGGTGTAAGCACAACCAGACCGCTAAAACTTCTCCACATTGATCTATGTGGACCTGTCATGATCCAAAATAGGGGAGGTAATAAGTACATTATGGTAGTTGTTAATGATTTCTCTAGGTTCACCTGGAATATGTTTTTGCGGACCAAGGATGAGTTGGACTACAGATCACCTTCGCCAAGGCAATTCAACTGAAGGTTAACTGCAAGATTGGAAGCATCAGATCAGATCATGGCACAGAGTTTGAAAATACACAATCTGAAGGCTTTTGTGCTGAAAATGGAATTCATCACAACTTCTCTGCACCAAGAACTCCTCAGCAAAATAGGGTTGTGGAAAGGAAGAACAGGACATTGGTGTATATTACTAGAACCATGATGGTTGACTCAGGGCTTGCAATGACTTTTGGGTAGAAGTAGTCATGTATGTTACAAACAGGTGTCTCATCATGTTAGTGATCAAGAAAACCCCGTATGATTTGTTGAACAATAGGAAACCTTTAATTGCTCATCTGAAACCTTTTGGTTGAAAATGTTTCGTATTGAATAATGGAAAGGATGATCTTGGCAAGTTTAATGCCAGGACTGATGAAGGGGTGTTTGTTGGGTATTCCTCTACCAGCAAGGCAATCAAAGTTTTCAATAAAAGACATATGTGTGTTGAAGAGAGTATAAATGTGATTTTTGATGAATCTGATGATAAGAACAAGGATGAAAACAATTAATACATTGAATTAGAGGAACTGATGAAGGTTCAACCAAATAAACTAATCCAAACTCCTGGAAGTGAACAGGTTCCAAAGGAAGGAAAAAGTGCAGAACTCACAGAAGAACCTGGTCCCTCTGGTGCAGCTCAAGAGGGAGACTCTCAGAACAAAGAGCATGAAGAAGATGAATCTGTTGCTGATACTGAAGAGGATATAACTAGAAAGTTCGAATGGAAACATTAATCTTCTCATCCTTTGGGCAATCTTGTTTCTCCACTTGACTCTGGAATACAAACTAGATCCAAAACAAGATATCTAGTTGCATATTCAGCCTTCATATCCACTATTGAGCCCAAGAACATCAAGAAAACATTAAAGGATGTTGATTGGGTAACATCAATGTAGAAAGAACTCCATCAGTTTGAGAGAAGCAAGGTATGGCACCTGGTCCCTAGACCCCTCAACAAAACCATTATCGGAACTAGATGAGTCTTCGGAAACAAACTTGATGAGCATGGGATCATCACCAGAAATAAGTCAAGACTCATGGTACAAGGATATAATCAAGAGGAATGTATTGACTATGATGAGACCTTTGCACCTGTAGCCAGAATGGAAGCCATTAGAATCTTAATAGCCTTTGCTGCCTACATGGAGTTCAAACTGTTGCAAATGGATGTCAAAAGTGCCTTCTTTAATGGGTATCTAAAGGAGGAGGTGTATGTTAAGTAATCTCCAGGTTTTGAAGATGCTGATCTCCTAAATCATGTGCTGAAGCTGGACAAAGCTTTGTATGGTCTAAAGCAAGCTCCCAGAGCTTGGTATGAGCGCCTGTCAAAATTCTTGCTTGCAAACAGGTTCAAAAGAGGTAAAATTGATAATACTCTATTCCTAAAATCCACAAGTAAGGAGCTGTTGATTGTGCAGGTATATGTAGATGACATCATATTTGGAGCTACCTCAGATTCACTGTGCAAAAAGTTTGCAGATTTGATGAAAAATGAATTTGAAATGAGCATGATGGGGGAGCTTACATTCTTTTTGGGGTTGCAAATCAAACAATCCCCTCAGGGCACGTCAATATGCCAAGAGAAGTACATAAAATAATTGCTCAAAAAGTTCACAATGTTTGAGGCAAAAGTTCTTGACACTCCCATGAACACAAATGTCAAACTTAACATGGATAAAGAAGGAATTAATGATAATAAAAACATGTACAGGGGAATTATTGGGTCACTTCGCGACATCACTGCAAGCAGGCCTGACATAGTTTTCAGTGTAGGGATTTGCGCAAGGTTCCAAGCAGCACCAAAGGAATCACACTTGAAGGCAACCAAGCGAATACTGAGATACTTGAAGGGAACACAAGACCTGGTCCTCTTCTATCCTTCTAGGGACTCCTTTGATCTAATTGGTTATATTGATGCTGACTATGCAGGTTTTCTTGTTGATCGAAAAAGTACTTCAGGCATGGCACATTTCCTAGGATCATCACTGATTTCATGGGGCACCAAGAAGCAAAATTCAGTAGCATTCTCTACAGCAGAAGCAAAATATGTGGTTGTTGCATCTTGTTATACTTAACTCTTATGGATTAAGTAGCAACTCAAATATTTTGGTGTTCTCACAGACACTATTCCCCTCATATGCAACAACAAAAATGCAATGAACATGTCCAAGAACTCTGTTCAGCATAAGAGGACTAAATATATAGATGTGAGGCATCACTTTCTAAGGGATAATATTGAGAAGAAAAATGTGATAATGAGATTTTGCAAGACAGAAGAACAGGTGGTTAATAACTTTACAAAGCCCTTGAGCAAAGAAAACTTCGTCAAGAACAGACTGAAGCTGGGAATGCACAAAGTCACCTGACTTTATAGCAAGCCTGCATGAAATCTCATTTTCTGACTATGTTAGGGAGGGCGGGTATCTATACAAGCTGTATTACTTATCGTTTAAGAATTCACATCTGGTACCGTACTATAGGTACACACTCATGGCATGTTGGCTAGAGGGAATATCAAATCATACAAGCAGGACTATCTATAGAAAGGGACCTGGTCTACCAAAGGTTAGTATCAATTATGCTACACATTTTTTTCAGTCAACAGTCACTCCACGTGTCCTTCCCCCATTCATTATGCCAGTTTAAGACGTCCTTTCACTTTAAATCCAAGCGTCGTTACTGTTTAGGGACCCGATACCCTTTTTAAATACAATCTCTTGAGTGAATCCAAACATCCAAAATTCTACCTAATTTTTTCTCTGAATTCACTTTTCTTCCTTCAAATCTTCTTATCCTCTTTCTTAAACAAAATGACTAACTCGTCTTCTTCTTCAAAACTCCCTATCTCCCAAGAAATTGAAACTCCCAGTTCATTCAATTTCTCCCCCAGCAGAATATCCGTCCATACCAGTCTGTGGGGTTGGTGAGACTGATGAATCCAACACACCACACACTGACGTGGTGGTGTCTCCTGCACTCCAATCTGGGGAAGTCTTGTCCTGTTCTTCCACTTTAGTTCTATCTGGTGAGAAATCTAAAAAATTTGAGGCCCAGTCAGTTGTGAAGCCCAGTCTTGGAACACCCTCTGAAGAACTTGAAGTGTCTAGAGCTATGTCATTTACCATGTCTGTGCAGCTGAAGGGAGGGTCCAGAGTCCAATATCTTAGCAGCAGTAAAGGAACTGGTTGTTGTACAAAGTTTGGCATACCTGAGAGGAGATGTTCAACCAACTCTGTTGGAACAAGAGTTGAGATCGCCGGAACAGGTCCCTTACAGTGCTCAACCCGTGTTCGACCAAACTCCTAAGTTATTTGATGTTGACAATGAGGAAGAAAAGGAAGAAGAAACTTCCTCGGTGTGGCATAGAAAAAGGGTTTGAGCTGCTAACACTTTGACAATGGTTGTCACAGATCTAGAGGCAGTTGATGATGTTCCTGAGACTAAACACGACAATGAGCCTACAAGGTCTGAACGAGAAAGAAAAATAAAGGGCAAGGGAAAGATGGTACAATCTTACACCAAAGGAGACAAGAAAAAATATGCAACCAGAGGAGCAGTTCAGAAGATAATAGGAAGTGCCATAGCAGCAAATCAAATCCAAACTGAAAGAATCAGGAAAATAAGAAGGGATGGTCATGTGCCTAAGGAACCTACCTCAACTCCTCTACATATAGGGTCAAGTGAGACAGATTCTGATGACATTATTCGAGCTGTGGTTAAAAGAAAGAAGGAAGCAGAGGTTGAACAGGTCAGAGCAAAAGGGGGTCACAAGTCAGTGAAAAAAGCTCCCGTGAAGAAGGAGAGTGTGGGGTACTGTGAAATCGAAACCCGTCAAGGGACCAGGTCCTTCTGTTCAAAAGCCAGTGGAAGAAAAGGTACTGACTAGGGAAGAATGCATTGCAGAAATGGAGAAACAAAAGGTGCTGAATGGAAGATTCTTCGATCTTGAAATTCAATCAGAATTTGGTATGTCTACTCTCTTTGACTTTGTCTCTCTACAAGGTTGGGATCACACGTTTGAAGCCCCATCACTTTATTTGTATGAACCTGAGGTGCGTGAATTCTATTACAAAATGGAGCTTCTAAGTGATGGAGGAATCAAGACAACAATGTGAGGGGTCGACATATCTCTGAATGATGAAATCTTGGGCATCATTTTGAGTGTACCGGATCCGGTCCATTGAAGGATGCAAGCCCTCTAGTGAGTTTAATCAATAGGCCACAAAGCGAGGGGACATCAAACGAGCAAGTCTGCCTAAGATATTTCTCAAAGGGGAGTACCAGTTAATGTTTGAGTTCATCAACAAGGTTTTGGTACCAAGGACTAAGAAGAGAACTGTTGCATCTGCTGCTGATATGTTTCTCATGGAAAAATAGGATGAACTTGAGGTCATCAATCTTCCTGCAATTATGCTCGAACACATGCACATGATAATGACTTGGATGTCCACCAAACATGGCATTCTTTATGGGAATCTGTTGAACTATGTGTTCAAACACTTTGAAGTACCTATTGGAAGAGGCGTACCTAGTACTATCAAGTATATGTTCACTACTATAACCCTCTTGGAGTGTGAATGTGTTGAGGGAAAGGCAAAAGGCAGGTCTCATGTGTCAGATCTTCCAGAGCAGCAAGCCTCTCTCAAACTAGAGTTAACTGACCTTACAGTGATCCTGAATGATAAGTAGGTTGAGATTGCACAACTTAAGGCTTAGTTGCAAAGGGCTATCTCCAAGGGACCTGGTACCAGTTCTGTGGATACGAAGGAGGTTGAAAAGTTGAGAGCTGAGAATGAACAGCTGCTGAAGACAAATGCCTAACTCAGTGAGGAAGTCCAAGCTCTCCAAAATCAAATCATTTAAGCTCATGTCGATGTAAATGGGCATATGACTTTGCTGATGAGATCTGTCACTACCCTTCCTTCTCTGTCCTAAATGTGTCATATTTCCCGTTTCTCTAGTCTTTCTATCTAACTCTAGTGGCAAGTGTACTATTTTGACTAACTTCTGTGGTCAGCTCTGTGATTAACGACATTATTTCTTGTGCCTTGTCTAATTTCACGTATCAGGACACTTCATCCAATACTAAGTGCCAATGATTGTAAAGTAGTAATATAACCCAACTAAGTGAGTTGGGGTCGAGTCCCAAGGAGGTGGTTTGTAATTGAGAATCAATAGGCAAGTAAGAATATGCTCAA